GAGATTTTCATTAATATATATATTATTGATTTAAATTACATTTGTTTTTTTCTTACTATTTTATATTCGGATTTTCTTTTCTTTTTTTTTTAGATTTTTAAAGATTATATGTGCAAAAACTTCCATCCGTTTGGGAAATTTGTAATGAGCAACACGGCCATATTTTTGCACAAATTGAAGTATTATTAAGGCGACCTAAATTTGAGTGCGCCATTAATTTGCTGTTTGTAAGAGGCTGTGTGCTTTCTTATGTAACACTCGGTCTTACTGGATAATAATGGCAGCAGACAAAAAAATATATACATTTATATTATAAAATATAATATTTTTGTTGTTATATTGCTTTTTATTTAAAATATATCATTTCAGTTTGAAAGGACTCTGTATTGAAAGAGTACATGAGATTACGATAGTTTGAAAGTGTGTTGTATAAATATACATGAGATTACAATACGGCTAGACGGTTTTCAATCATATTTTTTGGATAGATATGTATTCTTTTAAATTTGAAATGTGAGACTTAAAAAAACACAAAGTAAAATTATATACTTTAAACGATACAAATATTTTTTTCAACTAAAGTACGAAATAGTAGCATAAATATATTTTTTATTAAAATGAACTTATTTTTTTTTTTCAAAACGATATATAATATTATAAATCAGAATGTACAAATGTGCGAATAATTAAAATAAACTTATGGATTGAGATTTTATTTTTTTATATATTATTTTATAATATGCATTGACAGTCGTCGCATTGACAGTTGTGCCCAAGCCGTGTAGGGTGTATTCAATAGGGATAGAGGGTGTATTCAATTGGGATTTCAAATGACATTTTGATACTTTTTAAGATTTGAGATTTGTTAAGATTTCTAGATTTTGGAGAAATTCCGAAATCTTAAGTTTGGAGGTTGGATTTGAAGTAGGACTTCGTATTAGGTTTTTTGTTTAGAAATCTCACTAAATTTTAAAAAAAATTTTAACAAATCTTAGTGTCAAATAAATTAAATACTTTAAGATTTTGTAATACATTTTAAAATCTCAATTGAATATCCTAGGATTTTTAAAGTTTTAAAAAGTCATAACAAATCTAAATTTGAATACATGATTTCTAAAATCTTAAAAATTTCTTAGAAATTCTAATTGAATACACTCCCCGTAATGACTATTTCTTCACTCACGATTAACGATCGGGTAATACATTTCAAAAAATTAGTCTTAAAAAATGCTAATTAATCAACAATTTTCACATAGCTTTTTATTTCTAAAATTATGTAAGCATGTACATGCTAGCTTTCTTAAATGTCTAGTAATTATGTTAACAATTTAATTTTTGCAATCAATCAAAATTGGTAAATCTAAGGATGACAAACAACACAAAAGTATCAAATGTCATTTCATGTTGACCTGTGCTTAATGTTTGGACTTCAAACCATATAACGAACACAAATTTTGTATGAGATAATTTGAAAATTAAACAAATTATCACGAAATGTACCCATGATATAAATTGTCTCGTGTATTTTGTAAATAAAAATGCAAAATCATATTATCAAGTAATATAAATGTACCCGTTGAAGTTCAAAAGTTTATGTGCATCACGCAGTCCTATATTTACCATAATTAATGCACTAATTTTACATGACTATCACTTAAAAAATGTTCAAATTGAAAG